CCTCAATTAGTGTCTCATGTGGTATATTTGGAGCTTCATTAGGGTGACCAGACGTCCCGATTTTATCGGGACAGTCCTGATTTTAGGGGACTTGTCCCGCGTCCCGACCTTACATCGTTCTGGACGCACTTTGTCCCGATATCGGGGGGACCGCGGCAAGCCGGCACTGCTGGCACCGCTCACCTCTTCTTCCAGGCCCTGGGGCAGTGCAGCTGCGTTCCCACCGTCCGGCAGAGTGCTGCAGCCCCACTCCCCAGGCACGCACAGAGGCAGGGGCGTGGCTTGTAGGCACTGGCAGCGAGCCCCCCCGCCCCTGCCCCCCTCAACCTGACCCGTGTGCGAGCTATGCGGACAGGAGCCAGAGGGACGCTCCCTCCTCCCGCCGCCGCCAGCCCTGGCTGCATCACGGCCGCGCTTCTCCCTCCTGCTCCTCGCCCTAGTTGCCCTGCTCCTGCCCGCGCAGTGGACCCTCTGCTTGGCCGCCAAGCACCTGGACCGGTGCTTCGCTGAGTGCAAGGGCTGCACCGACCCAGAGTGCAGTAGTAAGTGGGCGCAGGGCGCTGGGGTCCCCAGACGGGACCTGCCTGCTGGATCCTGAGGCTAGCACTGCAGGGGGGCTGTGCCAGGCAGGCTCTGGGAGGGAGGACGGGGTGGGGTCCGATGCCGCTCTGGGTAGCCCGTGCGGGGTGGGGTGATGATGCTGCAGGGACGAGAGACCCATGGGGAGGCCGGGGTGGAGGCAGGGCTCTCGGGGCCAGCCCTCGAGCAGGGCCATGGGGCTGCATCTGTGGGCACCGCAATCCAGCCGCAAACCAGACGCTTCTCCGTCCCTTTAAAGGGCCAGTAGCCCGGCGTCCCGTCGGGCGGGTTCTCCCACGCGTGCTGGCCCAGCCCCAGTGCGGGGTGTGAGGGGAGGCGTGTGTTTGGCCATCGGCTCCCCACCCCCATCTGCAGCATTGGTACGTTCCGAGCGGAGCGGGAGGGGACGAGTGGCAGTTGGCCGAGAGTGGGCGGAGGGAGGGGGCTGGGGGACGTGGCCTGTGCACACCCTCTGGCGCTGGGTGCGGGGGGGGGGTCCAGGTGCGCACAGGGGAGGGGCTTGTTGTGATGTTTTTTGGCTCCGCCCCCCCGCATCCCGATATTTCACTTCTGTCATCTCGTCACCCTAAGCTGCATTAGTGTCCTGAATGCACCATCTGGAGCCCCTTTTAGGACCCCAAATGGTGTATTCAGGGCCCCCTTTAATGCTTTGTAGATTTCACTGAAAGCCGCATCAAAACAGGGGAAGGTATTACAGAGGTTATTTTTAAGAAGTTGAAAAAAAGATGGCTGCAAGGGACAAAGCTTTGCTAATGAAGCTAACATGACTGCAGCATATAAAGGTGTTCTGAATTGGCTTCAGCAGTCTTTCATCCCATGTGCTGCCCACTCTCCGAGTCTTGTTGGAAAAGCTGCTGCAGGGCTTGTGCCCCAAGTTTTTCTATTTTCTGGAATTGTTCAAAGATCGTTTAGCCTGTTTTCTGCTTCTGCTAGTTGTTGGGACGTATTTAAAGAGCATATTAGTGTTACAGTAAAATGCCAAAGCTTGCAAAGATGGCTAGGAAGGGTAGAGGCAATGTATCTACTATGAAAACATGTTGGGGGTGTTCTTGATCCTTTAGCCAATACTAAAGCTTCACACAACCTTATGCCAGAATTTAACTTGGAAACTGATAGCTTGCAAATGAACATTTCAGAGTTTTCAGTTTTCGGCTTGGTCAAGATGTGGTATACTCTCTGGTCAGAAATCAACATTGCGAGCCAAAGAATTGCAGATTCCAGATCTTGACATTCAAATGACTCGCTGGTTTAGTTGGTGGCCTTCAATACCCCCTCTTAGAATTATAGTGCCTGACCCATAAATCCCTCAATGGCAACTGGTTTACAAGACTATCCTGCTCCTGGTATGTAGAGATTGATTCACCAAAGAATATCATGTGAGATCTTAAATTAAAGCCAGGTTATGCTGGTCATTAATCTCATTGTGAAATGCATGCACAGATACTACCTAAGGAGTTATATATGTATGTTGAAAATATGTTTCTAAAGTGTATATTAAGGCAGAAGTGACACACAGGTTTCTGCCAGACAAAGATATTTATTCACCAATCTCTTTCAGGTCACATGTAAATTAAGCATTGTAAGCCCCATAGGGGAAGCCCTATTTACATATAAATTCAGTTGGGGAATGTGAAATCAACAGGGAGTCCGCTCAGTGGAAAATAAGCCAGGAGAGGGTCTTCCTTACTCTGGGGACAAAAAATGAACTTTGGGGGTTATACAGAGAAGGCAAAAGGATGCCCTTTTCCTCCTGCATCTAGGAAGTAAATGGACAGTTCATTTACATTCATGAAAATGGGATCTCAATCATACATGGTTAAAAATGCTGCAGAAGATGTTTGAGGTGAAATAAACTTATTTAGACTGGAGGATAGCCTGTTAAGTTTAGTCTTGAAAAAGTATGTTATATTTTTGTTTTATATGTAACCTGTTGTTTCCATTATCCTTACTCACTCTCTCTTGAATCTTGAACCTTTGATAATAAAGTGAATATTGTTTTCACTATAAGTATATCTCAGTGCTGTGGTATTATACAAGGAGTTGTTCCTGAGTGAAATTGTTCAAGTTGGTGAGTACGCTTTTCCCTTGGAGGCAGCAGACCTGGTATTAATGGGAGTGTTCAGTGGAGATGGGGTTGGGAACTACAGGGGAATGCTTCAAAGTTGTTCAGGGATGGGACTGCACCTATTGTTAATCTTCAAGGCAAAGGAACGTCTGGCAGAGCCCAGAGGATAGTGTTTGGGTGGCTAACAGACTGGAGGTGTCAGCCAGTTAAGCACAAGCAAGTCTCACTCTCTCAGTGGAGGCAGGAGAGTAACAAGGTGACTCACAGTCCTGGACACTCTGAAAATCGTCACATGCGCTTCTAGGTTCATTACATTTAGGGAAGCTGCTGCTTCCCAGGCTGAAATGTTAGGAATAGTCACATGATTCAGAGAGCAATGATTTCAGCACAGGAAATTAATGCCAAGAAAACTTGCAAAGAACAAAAAGTCATCAGATCCCCAAAAAGTTTTTACATGTGAGGTTTTAAACCCCATTTTAGACACCATATTAACACAATTGGACGATAAACTGCGGAGTTGAAAGAAAGATACTTTTTGACAGGTGAGAAGCTGAAAAGTCCTACAAGGGAAGGCCTAAACAGGCATGCTTGAAACTTAGCAAGCAGCTACCCGGAGGATTTAAACTCAGAGCGTATCGAGAATGAGATTGAGCTCTTCACTAGTTTTTGCAAGCGAATCTTTAAGGATGACTTGGAAACAGAGGTGCCCAATAATCTCCTTAGCTACATTCGCAAGATGTGATTTTCTGTAACACAGAAACCAGCACTGTGTATTTTTTTTGGGCTTATCTGCTCCTGAGCACTTTTAGCCTGGTTACACAGTCAAGCCTGACAGCCAGACATTATTCTTCATTCTGTCTCTCCTCTGAGTCAGATTTTCTCCAAGTCACCTAATCTCATTTTGATTTTTCTCACCTGTAGAAGAAACAGACTTTAAATCAGTCCTGAATACACCTTTGTTCCGAGTTAATGTTTCCATGATTGTGCTGCTGCCACAATGCCTATGGTGACCCTGGGGTTGGTATCTGTTTATTAATGGGAGACGGAGGTGGATTAGGGGTATGTGGGGCCCTGGGCCAGAGCAAGTGGGGGCCCCTCCCCACTCCTTCTGCCTGCAGTCCCCTCAACACCCCTGCCTGGTGCTCCTGCCGGGGAGCAGGGTCAGGGCACAGGGGCTTCCCTTGCTTCCCTGCAGGAGTGCTGGGCGGACAGGGTTGGGGCAAGGGGGTGCCCATTTTTCCAGGGGGCCCCCAAATGTCCGGGGCCCTGGGCACAGGCCCCGTTGGCCCAATGGCTAATCCGCCACTGATGGGAGACATTTCAGGCTAGATCCACAAAGGGGACTAGACTCATCAAAGCAAGTCCTAATGTTTAGATGCCCTGCTGCTTAGTGGAATCCATACCCCCAAGTTAGGTGCCTAGGCTCCCTATAGAATGTATGGGGAGATCCACAAAAGTCCTCAAGCCGAGTGGGGAGCCACCTAAACTAGCCAATAGGAAATACCAAGGAGCAAGGTGGGTTCTAAGCCCTGCCCTTCAAAGGGATTGAAGGTCCTAAATCCAAACTGAAGCGGGGGGGCCTGCTTCTGGTTGGGATTAATAGCAGAAAATCCTCCTCTCCTGGAGCTAGGCACATTAAGCCCTCTCTTGCGAAAACTGAGGAGGGGAAAGTGATGGTGCCACCTCCCTTAAACCTTTAGCCCCCCAGTGGCTAGAACACTCACCGAGGATGTGGGAGACACAGGTTCAAATGCCCCTTCTACCTGATGTGGAGTAGGGCTTTGATGTGAACCCATCTTGAAGGTGAGTGCCCTCACCACTGGGCTATGGGATATTGTGACTGAGTCTGTTTCAGTCTCTCCTGTTGAAGCTGTCCCATGTATGAAATATTAAAACATTCATTGGGCCAAGAGCATGCCAGGATGACTCTATAGTATGGTAGCTAGGGTACTTACCTCTGATGTGGGAGACCCAAGTGCAAGTCCCTGCTTCCGTGCACATTTTGTACAACATGCAACAGCTTCAACAGGAAGGATGGATTCAGAGAGACCCACCTCCATATATCAGAGATCTACTAGCTAAGTAGTTGTACTAAATGCCAATTTTGTGTCTGTGATATCATTAATATCTATCGTGTTAAGCTTAGTGTCAATATATTTAATGGATGTAAAAGAAACAGCAAATTGTACTGATCAATTTACTATAAATTAAGAGTACAGTCATTGTGGATGTCCACTAGATGTCACTAACGGAACCTCTGAAGAGTCTATTTACATCTGAAGTGGTTGATTACAGTGAAGTGAGTGAATACAATTAATCAGGTACTTCAGCTACCAGGTGCCTTGACCACACAGAGTACATGAAGGAGAAAGAGAGGGCAGGAAGAGGAAGCATGGAGCTGGCAGTCCTATCTGTTCAGCATACTGGGATCTGAACCCTGGGATTCTTTTTACTCTTGTGGTCTTTGTTGAATGAGTTCTGTTCATTATTGTCTAGTTTTCTCTGGCACAAGGAAAACTATTGAGCCTAGAGCAAGAAAAAATCTTCTGGGGAAGAGAGGCTATTCCTGAACAGTGCAAGGCTGCTGAAGGTTTTTATCTGGATTTCAGAAGCCTGCAAATACTTGTGTCTTCATCTGTACTCCAGATCTTTCTGGTAATTCAAAAACAGAAAGACACATTGATGTTGGGATTTTTAAAGTGATAACATGACAGATAATTTCCTAAGGGAATCTTGAGGGCTAGGGTCAATGCAGACTGAAAGCAGATAATATTACATACATTCATGCATACAGTACATGCTACATATAGTATAAAAGAAAGTTTCAGCCCCAATCATGGGCTCTCAGATATTTAGGCATGTTAATTTTTTGAACTGGTTGCTGTTGCTATTGTCTCTGGAGTGTCCTTTTGCTGCTACTTATTTTGAGTTATCCACCTTGAGCAGTAATTCAACTCAGTACAAGCCTGACCATCATGATGCTGAGGGCTCTGCTCAGGATGAGAGACTGCATGTTTTTACAGTGGATTATAACTACGTGCAAATTCCCTATGAAGTTACACTTTGGATACTTCTTGCATCTCTTGCAAAAATAGGTAAGTAGAAAGTGGCAAGGTAAGGTTTTTCTTTTTTGGAAAAAAAATCTTTTGTAGGTAAGAAGTTAAAGCAAGCAGTACAACATGTTTATGGAGAAAGTATTTTACAAATGAATGAGAGAGTTTTTAAATGATTGGGACTGCTTTTTGTATGTACTCTGCTGGAAAAACCAGATGGCTTAGTTACCATAAAGCCAGCTGTGTAGGCATCAGAGAAATGTCATAAATGATAACATGTAAGACCTCTGAAACTGTCCTAAAATCGCTTTTCCATTAATAACAATGTCACACTTTAAAGTTTGCTAACCCAGGACCTTTCTAGGCTACAAGCAAGTGCTGTCTGTCCCAGGGGGAAGCTTGCAGTCTCCCCTCTTCAGCTGTTTTTAACCTTTAAATGTCACAAGATAGCAGTCATAGGTGCAGCATGCAGGATTGAGTATTGCTTATCCTGAACTTCAGGCCTGTTTAATTTTGCTCAAGCTCAGGGGAACTGAAGGAAACATTTCCTTGGAGATATTTTGAAATTGAAATTGCTCAGATGGAATTTTACAGGTTGTCCTGGAGGAGATGGACTAATGGGCAGAATGTAGGCTAGTGGTCAGGGTACAAGATAAATGCAATTTATCACATGAATATAAACACACATTCATACTATATTATTCAAACACACACACACACACATATATATTCTACAAGTATATACATGTTTATGTACAAATGAGAGTGACAGAAAGAATACTATTTGTAGTTTTGGGGCCATATTTATAACAAATATTAGTCATCATGTATCCTATATGTAATATTTTATTATTATTAATTAGCATTTATATATTAGTTCCTCAAGTCCACAATCATGTTGGGAACCATTGTGCTAGGTGCTGCACAATCATATAGTCCTGCCCCAAAAGCTCACATATAATTTCTGAAAATTCCCATAGAATAGTTGATAGGTGTAAAACCATCATCAAAATCAGCACCAATTTGCATCCTTGTTTGTTCATAGATTCATAGATTCCAAGGCCAAAAGCACTGTGATCATCTATTCTTCCATCCTATATTACACAGCCATAGAACTTCCCCAAGATAATTCCTAGAGCATACCTTTCAGAAAAACCTCCAATCTTGATTTAAAAATTGTCAGTGAAGGAGAATCTATCACCAACCATGGTAACTTGTTGTAATGGCTAATTACTGTCACATAAAAATGTATGCCTTATTTCAATCTAAATTTGTCTAGCTTCAACTTCCAGACATTAGTTCAGATTGTACATTTCTATGCTGGATTGAAGAACACATTATTAAATATTTGTTCCCCACGTTGGTACTTATAGACTAGAATCAAGTCACCCCTTAACCTTCTCTTTGTTAAATTAACTAGATTGAGCTCCTTGAGTCTACCACTATAAGGAATGTTTTCTAATCTTTTAATCATTCTAATGGCTCTTAGCCTCTCCAATTTATCAACATCCTTCTTGAATCGTAGACACCAGAACTGGACACAATATTCCAGCAGCGGTCACACTTGTGCCGAATACAGAGGTAAAATAACCTCTCTGTTCCTACTCAATGGCGCAAGTAGAAATCATTTCTTGCCAGTACTGCACTCATGGGAGGGACACAAGGGAGGGCACATGACCTCTCCACGTGACCCTCCATGTGACTCTGCCCCGCCCCCAGCCCAGGGCCCCCACGCTCTCCCTGTCCCCTCCAACACCGCCCTTACCTGTCTAAAATGATGCTTTGGGCCCTTGGTGCCACCTGTATTTCCAGGTCTCATTGAAGATCCAGCAGCACCCCAAATTGAAAACTTCTTAAAGGAAAGAAGGATAGGAAGGTCAATCACCCCACTTTCCCTATCAGAGCTTCCCTTATGTCCAAACTAAGGCATGCAATTTTTTCAGGTTCACACTGATTAACAGAGAAAACAATTGGGGCTATTAAACTTTCTTCAAATTCCATAGAAAATTAAGTTCAGCTATATTTTCCAGTACAGTGATGAAATGGGTGTTTGTATATACAAACATGCTTAACTACTCACTTTCCCCAAAAATATGTAGTAGTCAGTCTGTTTATATGAAATATGGGAGTTGGGTGAGGAGTCATTTCAGCATATGTATGACTTATTAAAAGACAAATTTTAAGTAGAACTGTATCCTAAACTGCATTATGATATTGTACCCAAACATTGCAATTCAATGGGAGATTCAACATCCTTTATAGGAACAAAACAGACTCCTGAAACTCTTACCACAAAAGCAGTCCATAGTCATGCAAATAGTCCCATTGTCTTCAATGGGATTGATCAAACGATTAAGGTTAAGATTTAGATTCCAAGTTTGCAAATTGTTCTAGATGATACTGACACTGCCTGAGCTGTCAGATCAGAAGAAGCGTCATTCGAATAAAGGTTGGAAGATGTGTGATAAGTCTTAGCTCCGTTGATAAGATGAGGAACATATTTTTAGCAAAGTTCTTGGCAGAATCCTGAGGCTGCTGGTTTAAGGTCATCAGTGTCCAGCATTATAATCTTCACTTATAGTTCTCTCACCCACAAAGCTGGACAATGAGGCATTTGTTTTCTTTGTTTTGCTGCTCCAGTTCCAGTTAGCAAAATGCATCTTAGACTAGTTTGGCTGCAAAGAATTCTAGGTACACTGGGGACTACACCTGATTCCTGTCAGGCTGCAGAACTGGGCTGACATCAGAATCCAAACATCCCCTGGTCAGTGCAGGCAGAGGCATTCCTCTAATGATTTGGACTTGATGTGATGCAGTATGAATGCCATGGATCATTCAGACCAATGCGGAGAAACAGAATAAAAAACACTGTTTAAACACCTTCCGTGTCCCCCTACTCCCCACGCCTCTCCTCTTGAGGACTCCTGACCAATTTAACACACAATACATATGCCTTTGTTTAAGTATGTTAGCATAAGCATTATTCTGTTACAGCCATATAAAGAATGAATGCCCTCTCTAGCCATGTTCTGCTTCTTTAAGGAGCAGAGCACAGCACCACCCCCACCTCTGAAGGCAGGAGCTAGCCCCAAGTCTTTCCGGTACCCCATACCCGCTAAAAATCTCTGGCCAGTACTACATACTGGAGAGTACCGCCCTGCTTGCACTACTGCTCTTACTTAAGATTTCCCTGTTTATCCATCCCAGGATCACATTAGCCATTTTGGCCACAGCGTTGCACTGGGACCTCATGTTCAGCTGATTATTTTGTTATCTCAGCAGTGAGTGATGTCAATGACTGCTAGGTATGGAGACCAATTTCTCTGTTCCACATATGTAGGAATTACTGTACTAGACACATAGCCCATCTAATCCAATCTTCTGTCTCTATCAGTGAACAGAACAAGATATTTCAGAGGAAGGGGCAAGAAACCCCAGACTGTACAATATGGAATTACCTGTTCATAGTTCATTGGCTGCTATCTCACTTCTATGGTTGTAAATTGTTCACATCAAAAATGGAAAATAGTGAAACCATGGTCATAAAAATTGGTATTTTTAGTAAAAAAACCAAAAAAAAACAATAAAACAAACAAAAAAACACCCAAGAGATTTTTAGTGGGTACGGGGTACCGGAAAGACTTGGGGCTAGCCCCCCACTCTTGTATGGATTTATGTTAGTGTGACCAAGGGTAGAACTTGGCCTTCTGAGTGCAAAGTATTGCAAGTTGGGGAAACCTCTGTCTAGAGTGAGGAAGAGTTGGCAATATGGCAGCATGAAAACCTTTTCAACTCAGCTCATTTTCCCATGTTTTATTCAAGGTTTCCATCTCTACCACCGACTGCCAAGCCTCATGCCGGAATGCTGCCTTCTGATAGTTATTGGGGCACTGGTTGGAGCAATCATTTTTGGCACTGATCACAAATCCCCACCAGTTATGACTACCAACATTTACTTCCTGTATCTCCTCCCACCCATTGTCCTGGAGGAGGGGTACTTTATGCCCACTCGCCCCTTTTTTGAAAATTTTGTGTCCATCCTGTGGTGGTCTGTACTGGGATCCCTCCTGAATGCCTTTGGCATCGGACTCTCTCTCTATGGGATCTGCCAGATCGAAGCCTTTGGTCTCACTGATGTTAACCTGCTGCAGAACTTGCTCTTTGGCAGCCTGATTTCAGCTGTGGATCCCGTGGCGGCACTAGCTGTTTTTGAAGAGGCCTCTGTTAATGAGCAACTTTACATGATGATATTTGGAGAGTCTTTGCTAAATGATGGAATTACTGTGGTGAGTTTGCTTTTGCTGTTCATTTTTTCCTCACATTGCAGAGGCAGAGTTTCTGTTGGTTGTAGAGGAGAAACAGAAGGAACTCCACTGGAAATGCATTTATTTTAGGGTGACCAGATGTCCCAATTTTATAGGGACAGTCCTGATATTTGGGGATTTTTCTTATACAGGTGGCTATTATCCCCCACCTCCTGTCCCGATTTTTCACACTTGCTATCTGGTCACTCTAATTTATTAGTTATTGATTGCTGCTGATGATAATAATGTGTATATTTCAGAGGTGCCTAGAGGCTCTAATCAGGGATCAGAGCCCCATAGTGCTAGGCACTGTACTCACATAACACATCCGGATGGTAAACACTGGACTAATTCATTAAAAAAATCCACTGCTTATAGCACTGCTGGAAGTGAGAGGAGAATCATATCTTGTATTTATTATTCAGTAAACTCTGATCCTGCTCCAGCTGATGCAAATGGCCACACAATAATTGAATCAGTGATGCAGGGTCAGACCGTAAGCGCCGAGAATTTTCTTGGTATTGTACAAGCAAATCAAAGAACTGGTTCTGCTTCAAAGAATTCTGGCCAAGATTTCCAAAGACGACTAGTGATTTTGGGTGTCTCGAATTTTGGGTCCCCAAATTGAGATAACTTAAAAAGGGCCTGATTTTCAGAGGGCAGGTGCTCATCTCGTTCTGAGAATCAATCCCTTTAAGGTCTGTCAAGCTGACTCAAAAGTGGTGTTGGAAGAAAAATAAACAAAACCTGAATTTTTATGACAAAAAAAGGAACGTATTTGTAAAATTCTTTCCCTGTTTTTCAACCAGCTCTGCCAAAACATGAGGCATCCAGAATCACTAGTCACTTTTGAAATTCTGGCCTTAGGCCTTGATCTAGCAAAACTCTTCTGTACCTGCTTAACTTTAAGCATGCAAGTTGTCCCACTGAAATCAATAGGACTAATTGTGCTAAAATTCAATCATGGTCTTATTAAATGCTTTGGGTCTTTTTAGAATCTAAAACACAGGAGTCCAGAACACAGTCAAAAACAATTCAGACACTGCTTGAACATCAAGTGCTCTGGGAAATTTGATGTGTTGGAAGACTCTTGCAGAGTTCATTGTTGAAAGTCTTCATAGCCCATGGTATTTTAGGAGTGATTTTAAAAAGGGAGAGGAGGAAACTAATTTGATCTCTTGAGACCTAATTGTTATGAAATGATCACAGGCTCCTGATTCCCCAGTCAGGATGAAAAGATTTTAAAGTTAATGATGCATGTGATAAATCCTTGCTACTTAAATCTGTATGTACATTGCTTATGAGGTAGTGCACTAATGACTGATGTCCTTTTGTTATAACAGTAGCTTTTAAAAAAGACACTACATTTTTATCGGGTTGAATGAAATTTTGAATTCTACATTCAGGAAAAGCTGTTAAGAGTTCTGCTGTGGTTGCATTTTACACAAGAAATGGCTATATTGCCATTTCTTATGTAAATATGTGATATTTAAAGTAGAAATATATATACAATTTACTACTTTAGTGGGAAAAAAATCCCTAAAAAACTGTGGAATTGGAATAATGGTTTGGAAAATATTCCTATTTAAGTGACTGGAGGCTAAATCATGGTCACTTTACCCATTCAGGTTGTGCCATTACCTTCATAAGAACTCTTTGCATGAGAAAGTTCAAGACTTCCATCAGCCAGTTCTTCTACTGCTTGCTATGAGCTACGTATTAGCAACATAATTGTGTCTACAGAGAGTGGGGAGGTAAAGTCAATGAATATAAATGAACTATATACATAATGTATCATCTAGGTAAAGATTCAATGAATAATATATTTTGATTTCAGAATAATACAAGTGTCTACTCTGATGCAGCCACTGGAACATATTAAAATCACCCTTTCAAGTTATTCCTGTGTTGCACTGTGCCAAAAACAAGTTTGAGAATAATTTTTTCAAAATTATTTAGCCTTAGAGTAGGTTTGAGCATTTGTGACTGGTTCAAAAATTATTGGTCAATTAACTGGTCAAATATCGTCAAATAATACAAAAATGGTCAAACATTTTAAACCACTAATTTATTAGAACAGTAATCAAAAAGAATAAGACTTTATGTGCTCGATGAAGCTTATCCTTAGATAGATACTTAGGCCTAATCACAAAAACAAGTTCCTTACCTGAGTTATTTTAACACAGAGAAGTGCAAAACACAATGAAAAATGTACTAGAAAATGAAAAAATGGCACCATGATGCAACCAAACAGATAAGCCTCCACCTGCACCTGGGAATTCTTGCTGGAATAAAAAGCCAATATTTGACCAGGGTCAAATAATAGGCCGTCAATTAACAGGTCAATCACATTACTTGACTAGTCAATTGACTGGCTTGCCAAGCCCAATGTAGACACCAACAAGAACACCTTACAAAAAGCTGTAGGCTGCCTAACATAACACTTAAACTTATAATCACATAATGATGACCACACCACAACATAAGAGCCATACTCTGGTAATAAATTAACTCAGTCAATCCATTAAAACATTTAATAAAACAGTAGAAAAGCCCCTTTTTACCAATAGTACTCTCCAAATACTCTCAACCTTCCTCAAAACCTCTATCAAACAAAATCCTTAAGATATTTCTTTTAATCAGAGAATATAAACGTAGTATTATATTGATTATATTATAATATTGATGTCTTAAAGGAAAACTGCAATATAATATAAAATATCTTCTACTCATTGTGCCGGGATCCCATGGGTGCAACCTGGACTGTGGGACTGTTGAGACCTCCAAACCCACCAGCTTGGGTTGTCTCTCACGCTGTGATGCTGATGTCAAGCTACAAGCCTCTGACAGACACTGCATTTACCCAGATATCCACAGGCAAGGACACACCCAACTGAGTTACATGAATGATCTCCCAGACATTCATGAACCATCAATAGGGAATCTCCAGCCAATTCCCTCCAGCTCCCTAGCTTTGCACCCCAGAACTGTACCGTCCTGTACTGGTCAGAAGCGTGACCAATGTAAGCTCATTACCTAGTTTGCCCTTCCCTCAGAGTGGAAGGAACATGCAGCAGCCTTGGTAGTCTGAGCTCCATCAGGAATCATAACATTCAAAAACCAGTAGAAGAACACTTCAATCTCTCTGTATAACAACAGACCTAAAAGTGGCAATTCTTCAACACTGGGAAGCATGCTGCTCTGCCTTTTCACAAATAAGACAGCACACAAAGCCAATTTTGTTTTGTGCACACGACAAAGGAAATCATTCATAAAATCTTATGTAAAGTGCCAGTTAATCTTGCTTTCAGTAGTTTATGTCTTTGCCCTCAGTCAAAAAGAAGCCAGGTATTTTAAAATGTAGCCCTCCAGGTGTTTAGCTAGAATACAATGGTTTTGCGCAAAAGCCCAAAGCACCAGGTTTAAAAATTCCTAAAATAAGACCTGCTACCTCTCCATAAAATGCCCCTGCCTTCTCTCTGAGTGAATCAAAGCACCAGAGGCTGATTCAGGCCTTTCTGCCACTAAAATAATTATGGTAATCCATTTATGGAACTA